CCAAGCTCAAAAGGTTCGCCATCACTGATTTAGGCTAATCAGCCACTGGAAAAGATAATTTGCCCCTCATAACTGTAACATAAAACAATGCTTACCTACATGTGTTTGTGCAGCAAAATGTAGTACTATATCTATTTTCTCTGTTTCAAAAAGCAGTTTCACAAAGTGAGAATCACATATGTCACCCTATATAAAAGCAAACATGAAAAAACGAAGTTTCATTTAGCATCCTCATTTGTAAAAACCATTTTACTGTATGAACAACAACAAAATGATAAGAGAAGAATTCATTCTCCCCTCCCCAGTTTAATAGAGAACAGCTTAAAATTTAACTGAGAGGTCAGGTAAGTACAGTAATGAATGATGTATTTTTTTTTCAGCATCCTAGGGTATAAAATATTCAATTCAAAAATATTTTTGCAAATAAATGTCTAAAATAATATTTTATTGAGCACCAACTACTACTGAGGACTGTACTAGGTTTTTTCCATAACATTCTTGCCAACCTAAGGTCACTATATTAACAGGACAAATTTTAAACATATTTTCAAAAGTTCGAGATAACCATTATTGAAATATATTTAAAGTAATTATTACAATTGGAATGACATTTTGAAAAATGTACTTAATCACAACTAAGTAAATGTAAGAGTACTTCTGATGTGTAGTTAGTTCTAAAAATATGTTTTCTCACCCTAGCTGATTTGGCTCAGTGGATAGTGTGGGCCTGTGGCTGAAGGGTCCGGAGTTCGATTCAGGTCAAGGGCACATGCCCAGGTTGCAGGCTCAATCCCCAGTAGGGGACATGAAGGAGGCAGCCGATCAATGATTCTCTCTCATCATTGATGTTTCTATCTCTCTCTCCATCTCTGAAATCAATCCTATATAATCAAAGGCCAATATGCAAACCGACTGAAGTGGAACAACTGATCGCTATGACGCGCACTGACCACCAGGGGGCAGATGCTCAACACAGGAGCTGTCCCCTGGTGGTCAGTGCACTCCCATAGGGGGACCGCCGCTCAGCCAGAGGCCGGGCTCATGGCTGATGAGCACAGCGATGGTGGCGGGAGCCTCTCCCACATCCGCAGCAGCACTAAGGATGTCCAACTGACGGCTTATGCCCAGTTGGACATCCCCAGAGGGCTCCTGGACTGCAAGAGGGTGCAGGCCAGGCTGAGGGACCTCCTACCTCCCTCAGAGTGCATGAATTTTGTGCACCAGGCCTCTAGTAAAAAGATTTTAAAAAATAATAAATAAAAATATGTATTCTCAATAATTCTTTGGTGACTGAAGAAAACACTTTCATACAGAAGAACAGAATAATGAAATGTGGTTAAAAATAGAGTTTCTAGAATCACTAAAAAAATCCCCACATAAACCATAGGATAACAAGTTGCATTTGACATTAAAATTTGCCTTTGCAAATTAATGACCTGGTTCTCTGGTTTATACTTTGGATTCTTTTAAGAGTGGCTCGTAAGAATCAGTCTCCCAGAGCCAATCAATCAACTTTCATGGGAGAAGACTATCCAATGGGCTGTATGGTGGGTTTTTGGACTATTGGCTGGCCTGTGTAACACTCCAATCTTCTTAAATCCCAGCAAGGCCTTATTAAGAAAGATAGTGAGGACTTAAAAGTCACAAACCATGTAAGTTCAATCAGCTACTCATAGATGTGCCAAAGTACCAAAAATCACATGTAACTTTATATATCGTGTCAATCCAAAAGTAGTATTCTCCATAGCATGTGGTACTTCTGGAAACTAAAAGGTCTTAAATTAGCATGTTTTCTAAGCCATATTACACAAGTGTGTGAAGAAGGAAGATATAATGTCTGAATAAGTAAAGAGGCAATCTATAATAATTATATAATTACAAGAAACTTTCATACCTGTATAAATTTGTAGTTTTGTTTGTTAGAAATGGTTTCAAGATTCTTCAAACTTGCACAGTAATCCAGCTTATAATAAGTAAGAGAAAGAAGGGTAGAGAAATAATATAAAAAGTGGTAATAGCTTTTCCTATAAAATATCAATTTATTTTAAAGACTATAGATGTTCTGATTGTAATACAAGAACATATGTTCTTAAAGTGTTTGCTTTTTGTATTTTTAGAAGTTTCTAATATCTTAAAAGTAAAAAACAAAAACGTAATTTTGTTATCGTTTCAAAACACACACACACACACACAATAAAATCACTTGTTATAAACCTCTCCTTTAAAAAATTTTCCTGCCCAGATTTGCCTCCAGCCTCTGGTAGCTAGAAAAGTTTAATATTCCTTACTGAAAAGGAATTAGTGATTGAGAACAATTACACCTGTGTTACACATATTATAGCTCATTACACTTTTTCTGAGTTAACTGCTGGTAAATTGGTATAGAGAAGGGGGAACAAATTACTATGAAAGCAAGGCAGGTAAAAATTTCTAGGACTTATGGATTATTCTTTGACTACGTATTTTTCTTATTACATTTTGTGAAATGAAGGTAACTAACTGCATCTTGTGTTTAAAGTAAAAAATTCAGTAATCATGGTATTTCCTCTGGCAGCAGGTGTGGCTCAGTGGTTGAGTGTCGACCTATGAAACGGGTGATCAGGGCTTGGTTCCCGGGTGGGGCACCTGCCTGGGCTGGGGGCTTAATCCCCAGTGTGGGGCAGGCAGGATGCTGCTGATCAGTGATTCTCTTCCATCATTGATGTTTCTCTCTCTCTCTCTCTCCCTCTCCCTTCCTCTCTGAAATGAATTTTTTTAAAAAAGTGGTAATAGCTTTTCCTATAAAATATCAATTTATTTTAAAGACTATAGATGTTCTGATTGTAATACAAGAACATATGTTCTTAAAGTGTTTGCTTTTTGTATTTTTAGAAGTTTCTAATATCTTAAAAGTAAAAAACAAAAACGTAATTTTGTTATCGTTTCAAAACACACACACACACACACAATAAAATCACTTGTTATAAACCTCTCCTTTAAAAAATTTTCCTGCCCAGATTTGCCTCCAGCCTCTGGTAGCTAGAAAAGTTTAATATTCCTTACTGAAAAGGAATTAGTGATTGAGAACAATTACACCTGTGTTACACATATTATAGCTCATTACACTTTTTCTGAGTTAACTGCTGGTAAATTGGTATAGAGAAGGGGGAACAAATTACTATGAAAGCAAGGCAGGTAAAAATTTCTAGGACTTATGGATTATTCTTTGACTACGTATTTTTCTTATTACATTTTGTGAAATGAAGGTAACTAACTGCATCTTGTGTTTAAAGTAAAAAAATTCAGTAATCATGGTATTTCCTCTGCCCAGAAGGTGTGGCTCAGTGGTTGAGTGCCGACCTATGAAACGGGTGATCAGGGCTCGGTTCCCGGGTGGGGCACCTGCCCGGGCTGGGGGCTTAATCCCCAGTGAGGGGCAGGCAGGATGCTGCCGATCAGTGATTCTCTTCCAACACTGATGTTTCTCTCTCTGTCTCCCTCTCCCTTCCTCTCTGAAATGAATTTTTTTAAAAATTAGTGATTACCAATCATGGTTTCAGATTCTCTAGGGAGAGTCCGACTATTATTAAAAATTTCTCAAAATTAAATTAATTACATTTTAATTTAAAAACTAAATCTACAGTTTTCCATGAGGTGACAGTTATAAAATCAAATTATAAAATCAAATAATCATAATATTCCAATTCAGAAAAAGGTTAATAATCACAAAATTACACTAAATATTGAGTTTAGGGTGAAGATTTTTTGGGGGTAAAAATACTGCTCTTAAAACCTTTACTTTATAGGCTATCATAATAAATGAAAAAGTTTCAAAGGACTTTATTACTAAGACTAGAGGCCCGGTGCACGAAATTCGTGCACTGGGGATGGGTGGGGGGTCCCTTAGC